GGGCGGGCCAGGAATAGCCTCCGCAGCCGCAGCCCCGGCGACGTCTGGGCCCTTCTGGCCCCGCCCGCCCCGGGGTCCTTTCTCCTCACGATCCGTCGTTGGGGCTGTCCTCAGAGCTGCCTGACGCGGGGGACAAGACACTTGTTCTCGATCTGCCCTTGCTTGTTCTGTCCGCCTGCAGTGACAAAGCCTGTTTGCTGGTGGAGGAATATTCTAGCAGGAACAGACGTTATTCCCCTCCCCAGCGCCAAAGCGGGATTTCCGACACAGGCGCGTGCTCTGGACGCCTCGCAGCGGAGCCCGCGCCAGGCCGGCGGGGGCCTTGGAGCGGCGCGCACTATAAAGTGAGGCGCGCTGCCGCCCCCGCACGCCTCGCTGCTGTTGGCGTTCGGGTGAGTGAGTGCGTACTGTCTCCGCTGGCCTTCAGCCTGCGCCGGAGATTCGGGATGGCGCAGGGAGTGTCAGGAGATGCCCGGGGCCGGGCGGGAACAGTTAAATCGCCGTGGACCGAGTCGGCCTTCGCAGGGGCTGGGCAGGCCACACTGGCAAAGCTGAGGGTTCTCCACAGGGACGGTGGCGGTTTCTTCAGGCGGAGGTGCCCGGCGGCAGAGCGAGCCCGGAGTGTCAGGCGCCCCGCGGTCGTCTGGGCCGCGCCGTTTCTGCTGCGCACGTCGCACGTGTTCGCCATTTTGCCGGTGGCGGGGCGCCGCCAGCGCGTGTGCCAGCGAGTCCCTTCTGAGGTTTTCCGCTTCGGGCCAGGTTGCCGCAGGGGCTGTCTTTAGGAAATCACTCTGTTGTAGTCTATTCAGCGAGAGATAGAGGACATCTAGACATAGCCGAATTTATTGGGGTTTATTGATTAAGCCGGCGGCGTACTGGGGGACTCGTGTCTCTCAAAACCCCGCAGCCCTGAGTGAAAGGAGAAAGGAGCTTATATAGGTAAAAAATGTACAGGTTATTTACAAGGACAACAGAACAAAGTGAAGGGGCTTCAGGAGAGAGGGGGTAGGGTTTTCCATCTTCAAAGCAAAAAAAAGCCAGTTACAGAAGCAAAGCAAGCAGGTTAATTAGTCTTGAGGGTAAGCTCTGATTACAATGGAATTTTAATGCCTTGCCTGGTTCTGGTTAAGGTCCATTGGTTGTTAATTGTTTCTTGAGGCACTTGGGAGTGGGACTTCTTTGGATCTTATCTGCACTCGTGGGGAGGGGGAAAAGGAGTCCTAGTTTCTAAAATGAAATCACCCTTTCAGGATGGAGTCGCGCTTGCTTCCACTCTTGTTTCTTTTGTCCTTGTGCAATCTACTTAGGACATGGGAGAGGAGGGAGTACTTAGCTAATGTTCTCGGCATAATGTTGTGACACGAGGTATTACGAGGCATTAACTTGTAAGCGAGATCACACATTGGAATTTTAGGAGCCTTCATTCCTGGCTAGGGGTTGCCATCCTACACCACAATCAGGAGAAGTTTAAGACGAAAGCCCCAACCCATAGTTTTCTTTTCTCTGAGCTTTTGTTTTATGAGATCCAGACTGTCACAATAAGTTTTTATTTTAAAATCTTTGATTGTTCTTCCCATGAGCAATGCATAGCACCTCCAGCAGGCCCCTAACAACTAAAGTCTGCCCCCAGCTTCAACCAGCCCTACAACTTTGCACATATCCCAGTGGTGTGTTCAAGGAGGTCTCCCACAGGACCATTCCTTCGTGGGAGCACCACCATTCTGCCCCCTGGGCTTCCTTAAGTCTTTAAGGTCTTGAGCTTTGGCCCTCCTGCTGCTGGTAGCAGCCATGCCCATTGTGACTCAGGTTACTGATTTACTTTCCCCTACTATAGCCCCAGAGAATCTTTTCTAGCCAAGTTTCCACCTTCAGGTAACCTATAAAAATACTGTGTGTCAAGAGGGAAGTATTTTTCTTGCTCTGTTGGGATTGTTCCATATGTTGCATTTTCAGTTTTTACTCTATACTAAAATCTTCCAACAGGGGCCAGCAAGTGGCATGGTGCTTAAGGCACTGAACTCCCACAAGGCTCACCACAGTTCAGTCAGCCCTGAAGGTGTGTGTGGGTAACCAGGAAGACACACACAAAGGTGACTTCGATATGTACTGCAAGCGCCGCCATTTTGAGGCCCTAGCCTCTGTTGAAATTTTTCTAATTGAGTAGGAATGTTCTGTTCCCGCCTAGATGTTCTTGTGATAACTTTATAACTGCCTAATGCTTAATTTAGTTTCTGTAACCTGCTTGCGCAATCCTCCCCTGCCAGGAGTGGGATATAGTTTTTGCCTTTATAAGCCTTCCCCCCACAAAGAGACTTCAGGGATTACAGGGTATGGAGAGACATGAGTCTTATTGCAGCCACTGGCTTTGAATAAAGACTCTTGATTTGGCTTTAAATGAGGAGTCTCCTTCAATCTCTTTGCATACATTGTAACATTTGGAGGCTGGGAGAGATGGGCCTCCTGGCACTTGGTGGAGGCACCCAGAGGGAACACACCTCCCTGGTTTGGCCGCCCAACACTTGGGAGTTTCTAGGGGAGGTGCCACCTGAGAAATCCCAAGGCCCCGGAGTTTCCTCCAAAGATCTTTGACAGCTGGATCTGAGATGCCGAACACCCCAGTCAAATTCTGCTATGGAGTCTCAGGAAGGCACCCACAGGAGTGAGTGTCCTACATCTGTGGACGGTCATCTTGCTGAGTCTGGGGAAGACGATACAGTCACAACTTCCTTACTTGGATTTCACTAAGACATTGTGACGTCCTTGTCTTATGGGCCCATTCTGTTTGTTTTTTCTCTTTTTCTCCAGCTCTTCTCAAAGACACTTCCTGGTTGTATCCCACATCTCTTAACTGTCCTGGGTCTCGCTCAGCGGGTCATTGATCTTTCCTATCTAGGTTCCCTGTGTCACTTCTTTCCATCTGAGACAGATCTCTGTATCTTCTTTCTCCTTGTCATCCTCCTTGGGTACACAAGGGAGGGAATGTATTTTAATTTGTGTGGTTGATGACTGTAAGTGTGTGTGTGGCTACACAGCTGCTGCTACGGAGCATGAATAGGCTCTTAAACTGATAGTCGCAATGACCTCATGTGACTCGGGCCTATACTGGGACCTAGACGATTATTTTGTTCCCTGTAATCCCAGTCCAAGTGAAGAGTTTATATCCACCTGCCAGAGCCAAGAGGCACCAGTGTCCCTGTGAGGGACGTGGCCAGGTTAACACCTGCGTGGTCCTCTCCTTGAGGGACACCCACCATTTTGTCTGACCGCTTCCAGGTGGGATTCCATAACTGGGAGGCCCCTCTGCCTTAAGAAACTAGGCTCTCATTTTGAGAAACTCTCAGGTAGTGTCTTGGGAAAGAAGGTCCTAGGCCACCCTTGGCAACTGCGCCCCCCGTCCGAATGCTTTCATTCAGCACTCATTGGCTCAGCAACAGAGTCACTCTTGGGTCCAGACCTTTGTCTTCTCTTCCTG